CCGGAAGTGACGTAGGCACGCTGGGCACGCTGGGGGCGGTGCCACGGCCATACAAGGGGAAACCATAGAGTTTTCCCTTGTATGGCCGTGGCCCCGCCCACAGCGTGCCCGGCGTGCCCACGTCACTTGCTAGTGACGCGCACGCCGGGGGCGGGCTTCCCCTGGGTCCCGATTCCGCCGCGTCGGAAATCGGCCCTTCAAAGCGGGGTATTCCCCGCCCACATTTGGCAGCCCTAATTATTGATTCCATCAAACTTTGTCATTTGTCAGTCACAACTCTGACTGGGCCTGGACCTGGGGGCTGTGGTTTCCCAGGCAAAACGGTACCTCCGTCTATCATACAATAGGCCTTTCTCTGTTCGGGCCATGAGGTTTGTAAAAGTATCTAATATAGCAGCGATGGGTACATCTTGTAAATCCACTAGCGTCATGAAAATGCGCAGTTAAAGCTGGCTGTATCAAGCAAGGTCGCGGTTAGCATAACTGTCTATCAGCATTTTAGCTTCCTTCCCAGCATGCATCTTAAGCAACGAACCAAAGACAACACCTGAATATAGGCTCATGATTGATTTCAGTTTCTGTGATTAGAATCATCAATGGCACTTCACATATCTGTATGTCTGTGCATGTCAGAGGTGCTAACTGAGTCCACGAAGGTTAGCCCACTAAGTCAGACAGAGTGCTGAGTGCATAACAGTGTCTCATAAACTGTGAGCCTAACAAGACTGAGTTAGGAAGTTTGCCGCAACCCACCTGCGAGCAGTCAAGCACTTCAATGCATGGGGGAACCCTCCTGTCACTGTAGCCAGAGGTCCTGCTGGGACCGAGCAGAGAGGAGAAATGCTCCTTCGTGCTTCGAGGCACAGGTGACAGGTGTTTGCTGGCCCAGAGACAGGTACAGCCTCCCTGCGGAAGCTGGAGCGCACAAGGCAACTGGCCTCTCTTAAAGATACAGTTCAGGCTGTCTTCTCCCTCGCCTGCAGTGAGTCGGGCTGCCAGCCTCCAGGCGGGGCCTGGGGATCTCCTGCTATCAAAACTGATCTCCAGTCTACAGAGACCAGGTCCCCTGGAGAAAATGGCCGCTTTGGAAGTAGGGATCCCAAGTCCCCCCGGGGGGCGGGGAAACCCCCGCCCCAGAGGCCCGTTCCCTGGCGCCGCCGCATCGGGCCCTGGGGGAACTCCACCCCAACGTGACACAGGCACGCGGGCACGCCAGGGGTGGGGCCACGGCCATACAAGGGAAAACTCTGTGGTTTTCCCTTGCATAGCCGTGGCCCCGCCCCCAGCGTGCCTGGCGTCCTCCCGCACAAGACGCCGGCCGGGAGCCCCCTGCTCCCGGCGAAGATAGACTTAGCAACCCTATTTCGAAGGTGGACTCTACGGCATCGTACCCCGCTGAGATCCCTGTCCTCCCCAAACCCCGCCTTCCTCAAGCTCCGCCCCCCAAAATCTCCAGGTATTTCCCAACGCAGACCTGGCCACCCTACTGGTGAGGAGGATGACGTACATTACTTGCCATTTTGTGGGGCCACTTCGTGCATCTTCAGTCATTTCCCCTGGGGATTTTGTGATCGGCTTGCCAAGTCCCCCCAGGGGGCGGGGAAAACCCTGCCCAAAAGGCCCATTAGCTGCCGCTGGCGGATCGGGCCCCAGGGGGAACCCCACCCCCAAAGCACGCGATGTGCCCGGCTTCAGCACGTCACCCGGAAGTGACGCAGTCGCGTCGGGCGCGTTGGGGGTGGGGCCGCGGTCATTCGAGGGAAACCTCTATGGTTTTCCCTTGGATGATTGTGGCCCCGCCCCTGGCGTGCCTGACGTGGTTGCGTCACTTCCGGGTGACGTGGTTGTGGCCCGCACGCACTTTGCGCACGCGCACGGACTCCCGAAGCAGCGCTGGAGTCCCCCGCTCTACATACAGCGAGGACTTGGCAACCCTATTTTGTGATGTGATCTGAAATAAGTCGGTTGACTCCTCTGGTGTGGAATTTAGCGCCGTAAACCTTTGACCGGTGCAGGAATGCTCTACATACAGCGAGGACTTGGCAACCCTATTTTGTGATGTGATCTGAAATAAGTCGGTTGACTCCTCTGGTGTGGAATTTAGCGCCGTAAACCTTTGACCGG